CTCCCCCTCTTCCCCATCCCGCACCACCCCCTCCTCCTCCGCCTCCTCCTCCTCCTCCTCCTCCATTCCTTCCCCTTCTAAATCACTGCTCCCTGTCTTACCCCGAAGCCAATTTTGGGGGCGGGCCGGGCGTCTCGCGGGTCTCGAAATGTGGCTCTCGCCTTAGCGCCGTGCACATTCGTTTTGAAACTTTGCAAGAGCTTCGCGGATTGAGGGCGGGTGGTTTACAACATGAGTCTCTCGGCCGATCGCCGCGTACATTTGGTCAACAAGTTGCAAGAACTTCATGGCTTGAGGCCGACCCGTATTCAAAATGTGGCCATCGCCTGGGCGCCGCGCACATTCGCTTTAAACAATTGCAAGAGTTTCACGGACTGAGGGCGGCTCCTGTTCAACATTAAAAATGTGGCTCTCTCCGTAACGCCGTGCACATTCGTTTTAAACAAATGCAAGAGCTTCACGGAGTAAGGGTGGCTCCTGTTCAAAATTTGAAATGTGTGGCTCTCTCCTTAGCGCCGTGCACATTCGTTTTAAACAATTGCAAGGATTTCATGGATTCCCATTGTCAGCGTACAAGAAAGACATGGTGGACGGATTCTTGACTGCGCGGGTGCAACAGTTATGTCGATACACGGTGTTGACGTCGAAGGAATGACGTTCTGGTGCGATTCAAGATCGCCAAGACCCAACAGTCAGGTTGATCCGTGGCGTTGGAATCCTGAGCACAATGTGTTGGCACGCTTCAGGGTCTTTAAACGGTTGTCTTCCAGCGAGGCAGTTCCCTCAATGGACATCAGCCGTTGTAGGGGCCTGTGAAGAGGGCGCTTGGAAGGAGGGTTTATTCCAACATTGTTGGTGACTCGTTGGTTTCCACTGGTCCTCCTCCTCCCCCTCCTCCTCCTCCTCCCCCTCCTCCTGCCTCCTCCTCTTCCTCCTCCTCCTCCTCCTCCTCCTCCTCCTCCTCCTCCTCCTCCTCCTCTTCCTCGCGTGAGAACCCTCCTGGCTAAGGCGGGAGGACACACTCACACCAGCCCCTGGTTCCAGGATCGGCCCGGGCAGGGCCGGCGCGGGTGCACAGTCAATGCCCTCGGAGCGCCGATGTCAAAAGTCGTGTAGTACTCCCGGAAGAAGGGCATGCCAAGGATGGCGAGCGGGCCGAGCTGCGTGATCTCCTCGCCCATGTCCATGAGGAGGAGCTGGCACTTCTGCCTGTCGTCCGTGGTCGTGTTGACGCTCACCTCGTCCGAAGCCGCTTCGAGCCTGAACAGGGGGGCGGCGCCTCCGCCCGGGATGCTCCCGAAGGCCACGTCCTGGTTGGCATGGACGAGGTCCTTCATCGGGTCGGGCACGCTCCCGTCGACCTTGCCGATGTAGCTCTCCGCTGGGAAGGGGAGGTCTTGGCCGTTGACCTGGACGACGAGGTCGGGGAACATGCGGAGGTCGCCGCAGTCTCCGTCCATGCTCTTGATCGACTCGAAGATCTTCTTGTAGACGTGGGTCGGCAACGAGAACAGCGAGGTGCCCGTGTCCACAATCGCGCCGCAGCTCGGCTGGCACCCCAGTGGGATCCTGGTGTTGTCGAAGTTGTTCCGAAGGAACATGCCCGTGACCTGCACGCTCCAGGTCAGCTTGCCTGCAACCTGGAGCGACGCGAAGGACTCCGGCCGCGTGCGGGGGTCGAGGTCGTCGAAGACCAGCCAGCCGGGAGAGCCCGCGGTCCTGCCGAGGCAGTGGGAGAACCTGGACACCCCCAGGCTCTCTACGAGGGAGAGCTTGCTCGAATCCGTCCTGACCTTCTCCTCGAACTCGCGCTCCTGCTCGAGGAGCTCCGGGGGAACCACGCCGCTGTCCCTGCGATACTGCTCCTCCTTGGTGAATTCAAGAAAGGTACCGATACCGCTACTCCCCAGACCTCACCCGGGGTGCGCTCTGACCAGAATTTCGAGGCAAATCCAGCGGTGGTGACGACGGTCTCCCCGGAGGCCCGAAAAGAGGAAAACGAGCCAAGGGCAGCGGTATGGGTACCTTTTCCTCCTCCGACTCCTGCTTCCGGATCTTCTCGAGCACGAACTTGGCGCTGGCCGCCGGCTCGCCGGGGGGGCCGATGCCGATGATGCTCTGGAACGTGGCCGCCTCCAGCACCGGCATCTCCGCCCTCACGACCTCCCAGAAGGGCGCATGGTCGGCCGCCAGGGGCCCGATCTCCAGCCGCTCGTAGCCGTCGTTCGAATAGCAGGTGCCGCTCCCAAAGGAGTGGCTCTCGGAGCCGCGGCCGGCGGCGTAGGAAGTGCTGATGCTGCGGTGGTAGGCGACCGCCTCGCGGGAGGGGGGCGGGGGGGGGAGGAGGGAGGAGGAGGAGGAGGAGGAGGAGGAGGAGGAGGAGGTGGAGGAGGAGGAGGAGGAGGAGTCACGAGGCAGGGGCCCGCCCCGACGCGCGGGCACGACGAGTGCAAGCTGAGAGATCGGGCCCCAGATGCTCCCAGTGAGGCACGGCGCCTGCACTGGGCAGCACTGCGAGGGCGTTCACGGGGCAGCGGGGCGTGCCATGATGGGGAGAGCTGCTGCCCAGCCTCTGCCCTGGAGAGAAGTCGAGGGCCCGGCGGGAGCCGGTGCTTCTTCTTGGGAGAGCGGCGAGGGGCAAGCGTATGCCCAAATCCCAGCGGCAGCCCAAAGGGTGGGCCGGGGGGGCCACGGTCGGAGGGGGGGGGAGGGGGGAAGAACTCACGTAGAAACGCTTTTCCCAGCCTCCCCATGTCCTGATATTTCGGCCCTCCTTATCCTGCTCCTCCAAGCGCTTCCTCAAACACGCGGGCCCACCCACAGGCAGCGTGAGTGAGTGTGTGTGTGTGTGTATGTGTGTGTGTGTGTGCGTGCATGCACATGTGGTGCGACGCCGACATGTGGTGTGCAGCGATACAGAACAAGTAGCTGCACGCACGCGCCTAATTGTATCCCCCGACGCCTGGCCGCAAGAGACGCAGTCCTCCCCGAAGACCAGCAGCTCGAAAGACCCCGTGTCGAAGAGACCGGTAACCACCTGGCCGCCGACTTTGATGCTCCCGAGGTACTGGACGTCTTTCAGGTTTCTTGCGGCAGGGAATCAGGACAGCGAAAGGCAATCAACGACGCAGATGTCCCGTCCCCACCGGCCTCAAAGATCATCCTCCAGAGCAATATTCATTCGCATGGTCAACAGTTTCCTGAAAAGCTTTGGGAAGTGTCGATGGAGGTAGCCACGAGGCACAGGAGCCCACAAGCCTCAGACCACAGAGCTGAAACATGCAACGTAGCTCGGGGGGCACCCGCGAACAACGAGGGGCCACAAGCTGTAACCGACCGAGCCCGATCTTGTTGCAACGACGCTGCAGGGCCACTGGCCACGACGGGGGGCGGGGAGGCAATGCGAGCGCAGCCCAGCGGGCCCTCCGCGGGGTCACGAGGCACGAGGGGCCGGAGGGCCCCGGCCCAAGCCAGAGCCCGACCCTTGCAATCCCACCGTGGAGCCACGAACCACGGAGTGCGAGGCAGGGGCCCCCGACGTCCCGAGGTTGTGATTTTCTCATAACGTGTGCCCCTGAGGCTCGGGACCCCTTCCCCAGGGCCGGCTCTCTCATCATACCGAGTCATTGTGTGACGGTCCCGAGGCCCAGCAAGGGCCCCCATGAGGCCGAAACCAGCGAATCCTCCTCCCGTCGTGCTTCGTGTCGCGACGCGAGGGCTCGCGACACGAAAGGGGTCTGGGCACACCTCCTGGGCGACGAACTCGGGGCGCCCGGCCTCGAAGGCTTCAGGGCCAAGGAGCCCAAACTCTCCACCGTGAGGCCGCGAGGGCACCTGTGCTCTGTCATCGGGCGAGATGAGAGGGGGGGATAGCAAAGGGGGAGCTTGAGAATCAGCTCACGCAGCTGATTTTCCCGGCGCCTCCCGGCGCCAAAGGCGGCTATGTATCGAGGAATGGGCCCCTCGGTGGGGCCGAAACCGGCTGCATGCAGCAGATTTCGTAACCCTCCCTTTCCGTATCCCCCCCTCTCGTTCGGCCCGAATCAATGGGGCCACTGGCCGCCGACGACCGCCCACACGGCCCGATCTCGGGCGGGGCCCACAACAGACGTCACGAGGAGCGAGGGGTCGCCGTGGCCACAGGCGACCGAGCGCGACGTGCTCGACCATGGACCCCTCGTCACGTGGCTGCCCTGGGCGGTCTTCTCGCTGTCCTCCGCGGTCTTGGGTGGTCTTCGGTGGGGACCCAAAGAATGTACACCGCCACCACGTCGATTCCTCCTCTCTCCTCTACCCTCCTCTTCCTCTCCTCTGGCCTGGGAGAGGGAGGAGGTGAGGGAGGTGGTGGTGGCGTACGTGTTTGGGCCCCCCATTTGGCGGTCCTGGGCGCGAACGGTTGCGTTCAACAAGTAACGAGGGGCCCACGATCGAACACCTCACGAGCGCCCACAGTGGGGAGGGCCCACGAGTGGCGCCACGGGTGACAGAGTATCCTGGTATCCTGATGCCAACACTCCCCCAGGACGTCTCCCTGGGGCGCGTGCTGACCAGAATTCCGAGGCCAATCCGCACGTTGGGACGACGGCCCCGCTGCGCGGCTCCAAGAGACGAGAGCGAGAGACTCCATCGGGCATCGGCATCCTCGTGCTTGTCTCATCTGGCCTACTTCTACACCTCCGCATCTCTCCCTCCCCGTGTCGAGGGAGGGAACGTTCTCATCCTATCCTCCTCCTCCTCCTTCTCTTCCTCCTCCTCTTTCTCCTCCTCTTCCTCCCCCTCCTCCTGACCGCGGCGTGCCGAAGACCGAGACAAGCCCTATTGCGCGGGCGGCGCACCAGTTCTGTCCTCCACAAGGCCGATCACCGCCGCAATGGGGTGCATACGACGGGGACGAGGGCTTCCGCCCCGCCTCGAGAGAGAGAGACATTCCGGCCCGAAGTTTGGAGTACAGCAGACGAGACGTTAGCAGGAACGTCACATCGAAGACCGAGCCCGGTCCTCTAACCCCGCAGGGAGGCCGCGAGGGGAGCCAACGAAGCACGAGGGGCCCAAGCTTGGCCGAGGGTCGCCAACGATCGGGTCCCGTCCTGCAGCCCCGCCGAAGGCGGCTCGACGGTCCGCGGGCCAATGACGACGGCTCCCAGTTTTCACCTCCCGACCTTCGGAGCTGCACGGTTCGGTTGTTCACGGCCCATGGCTGTCCAGACTCGGCGCCTCGAGGACCAGCGCGCAGACTGAGAAGGCCAGCAGGCATCCGTCTTCGGTGACAATTATGGGAACCTCTCATGCCACATTACTGGCTCTTCCGAATCGAGGTTCGCTTCGCTCCGCAGTCGACTGCTGCAGCGAGCAGGCAGCAGCGCACGAGGCTCACCAGTAGGATACACCGACATGCGACAACTGGCTACGGTGCCGAGCCCGCTTGTATGGTGATGCTGAAGGCCCTGCTGACCTGAGAGTCCTCCTTCTCGTCCTCCTCCTTCTCGTCCTCCTCCTCCTCCTCCTCCTCCTCAAACCGCCGACGTCGAGTCATTCACGACGCGAGCCCCAGGGAGCTAGATCCCATCCCGGGGACAGTTTCTTTTCCCATCCGAAGACGCCAGCCATCCTCCCTCTGTCGTCTCCGCCTCCGCCTCCTCTTCCTCGCTGCCCTTTGTCTGGTAACTCCCGGGCTCCGAAGTCTGTGCCAATACGGCCGCCTCTCCTCCGTGCGATTCTCCGGCTCACCTCGGCAGAGCTGGAAACAGGAGCAGGGCAGAACCGGACCTCCTCATCCTCCCTCCCCCTGCACCCTCGATTTCCCCCCCCCCCCCCCCCCCGTCCCTGCACCCTCGAGTTCCCCCCCCCCCCTCTTTGCCCCCACCCCCGTCGGATCCCCGAAACCTTGCTACACGTAGGAGTGAGGAGGAGGAGGGGGAGGAGAGGAGGAGGAGGAGGAGGAGGAGGAGGAGGAGGAGGAGGAGGAGGAGGAGGAGAAGGAGGAGGAGGAGGCAAGCGTGACCTCTGGTGCGCGGCTTCAGAGGCGGCGAAGGGGGGGACGGGTGGGCAGACCCGCGCGCTCGCAAGCCGCTGCTGTCGGACGTGGCGCCCCAGGGACCCCCATGGGACAATCCAGAATTGTGGGGGGAACAAAAATAAGAAATCGAGCTCTATACACCGAAGTTTTTTTCCGGCCCTGCATTGAAATTTGCTCTGGAGAGCGGATCCTGGTGTATACGGGACCCTGGTGTATACATTTTTCGCTGTTTCCCCGGGACATCGGGGAAAAAAGTATACACCACACCACACCAGCGTCGTCCCCGACCCTCAAAAAGTCGTGGGATTGAAAAACAGCCCGCCACTGGTAATGTATATGTTCTAGTTTCCGAAAAAATGGCACGGATACCGCTACTCGCTGGACCTCTCCTGAGGTGCGTTCTGACCAGCCTTGCGATGCGCATCGAACCCGTGGCGACGAGGCGCCTTCCCAACGGCCAAGAGGCGTGACGAACGCTCAAGACCGGCCTCGAACCGCGAGCCCCGCCCTCCCACTGCCCCTCCCCCCGCACAATTCCCCCCTCCCTCCACCCCTCGGATCCCCGATCCCTGCAGTCAGGCCACGCGCCAGAAGGCAAGCATCATGACCGCTGGTGCGCGGCCTCATGGGGGGGGGGGCCGAAAGGGCACTCCGGCAAAGGGCCACACTTTACGTGTAGTCGAGACTGTGATCCCCTCCCCCTCGGGGATCTACTGACCCAGGTCAATCCAGACCCGGGTCAGCCAGTGTTTGCAGGGTCCTGCAAGATCCTGCAGTGTCCTGCAGAATCCAGCGCGCCAGCCCGGGTCAGTGCAGCCCTGCAAAATCGGGCACCCTGGCTGACCCCCGTTTGCAACGATCCCCCTCTCTAGAGGCCTCCTAAATGGAGTTCGAGTAGATGGGGTCGGAGGATCCAGCCACATCGCCAATGCCTCGCCGATGCATCGACGATGCATCGGCGATGCATCGGCGATGCGGCGCGATCCTCCGACCCCATCTACCCCGACCCCACCACCTAATTAGGAGGCCTAGACCCTTACATCGGATGTTGCCAGAAGTGCCCCTGGCCCAAGGTGCCCCCAGGTTTTCCAAGAAGGCCCCCACGGCCTTCAGAGCACCCCTCACGAGGCCCAGAGGGCCCCAGGGGCTCCAGCATGGAGCGAAAAGCTGGGGGCACCTTGGGCCAGGGGCACCTATAGCAACCGCTGATTACAGCTCGATCCTCCTCTGGAAAAGACGCTCTGGCTCAGGGCCACCCTTTGCGTGTAGCCGAATCCGTGATCCCCTGTCGGGAGCGGCCAGGAGGGGGGCGTCCAAGAGGGGGGGGCGCAAATCATGGCCAGCGGCATGTGCGCGGCCCAGGGGCGGGGCCAGCGACGTCATTCAACAAGAAGAGGCGCCATGAGATCTGAGGATATATCATGGCCCACGCCATGATATCCACCCCCCCCCTAGTCATCACCCCCCTCGTTGCCGACCCCGAGATCCCCTGCCCCTCGGATCCCCGTGGGCCCGGGGCTCGCCGAGGCGCGTCGCCGCCACCGAGAGGGCGCTCGCGGGGGAGGCCAGGAGCCCCAGGGCGGCCTCGAGTCCGACTGGAAGCCCGAGGTCAGCCCAGCGGATGGGAACACGAGGGGGGGGGCGTCTCCTCCTCCTGATCCTCCTCCTCCTCCTCCTCCTCCTGATCCTCCTCCTCCTCCTCCTCCTCATCCTCATCCTCACCCTCTTCCTCCTCTTCCCCCTCCCTCCTTCTCCTCCCTCCTCGTCCCTCCTCCTGGGCGGTTATCATTCGAACAATGCTTGCAGTTTTGGGATCTTACGTGGACTACTTGAACTAATTGCCTAGGTGTGCAGGGGCGACGCCGGGGGCGTCTCCCCCTCCTCCTCCTCCTCCTCCTCCTCCTCCTCCTCATCCTCCTCATCCTCATCCTCATCCTCATCATCATCATCATCATCCATCATCATCAGCATCATCATCATCATCATCATCATCATCATCATCATCATCATCATCATCATCATCATCATCATCATCATCATCATCATCATCATCATCATCATCATCTTTCTCCTCCTTCTCTCTTTCTCCTCCATTTCTTTTCCTTATAAGCAACTCCTCCATGTCGCAACCTGAGGCCAGTCGAAGAGACAGGCTGGGCGTTTCGCCTGAGACTTCCGAGTCACTCATGATCAAAATGCTTAGGAATTGGACCCAGTTTCACACATGGAGGGAGGGCAGATTTCAAAATGTAGCTCTCGCCTCAGAACCGCGCACACTCGTCTTTAATATGTGCGTGCGAATCGCGAATGGAGGGCGGGCGGTTTTCAACATGTGGCCCTCGATTTAGCATCGCGCACATTCGTCTTAACACATTCGTCCGTAAACTTTGCGAGATTGACAAATGAATGGCAAGCGGTTCTCAGAATGTGGCTCTCGATGTAGCACCACGCGCATTCGTCTTAAAGCATTGCAAGATTTTCACAGGTTGGGGGCGGGCGGCTTTCAACATGAGGCTCCACCTTAGCGCCGCGCTCATTCGTTTTTTTTTTGTTGATGTTTTGTTGTTTTTGTTTTTGGTTTAAAAAACTCGCAAGGAGTGTCATGCATGATGGCGGTTCCTTTTCGGAATGTCTTGAATGATTGCACGAGTTCCTGGGGGGTCGATGGCCAAGGTATGTCAATGTAGCAGAAATAGCGTGTTGGAACGGTTCAATACTTTCAGGGCGCAACAATTACGTTGAGTCCTTGTTTTACAGTCCCAGAAGCGGGGTCCTGGCACGATTCAATCTCGTCAAGACGCAACAGTCAGGCTGATTCGTGGCGCTGGGTTCCCAAGAATGGTGTTTAGGCACGCTTCAGGATATTCCAAACGGTTATCCCCAAACACAGCACATCCGTCGGTGGAAATGAACCCTTGTGTCCTGGTTTACTCTGGTCCTCATCCTCCTCCGCCACCTCCTCCTCCCTCCTCCTCAGCACGTCGTGTCCAAACGGTGCTTGCAGCTTGGAAGTCTGACAAGGTCTAACTCAGGTAATTGGTTGGATGTGCAGAGTGTTCGGCTCGTGCCCGGGGAGGAGGAGGAGGTGGAGGGGGAGGAGGCGGAGGAGGAGGAGAAGGAGGAGGAAGAGGAAGAGGAGAAGGAGGAGGAGGAGGAGGAGGAGGAGAAGGAGGGCCCGCCCATGGGCGCCTCGTGCGCTGGGTGGGTGCGCCGACAGTTCGCCGAGTGCCCGCCCGTGGACGCCTACTGCGCGCCTCGCGCGCCAAGCGGTGCGCCGAAAGTTCGCCCGGTGCCCGCCCGCGGGCGCCTCGTACGCTTGGTGGGTGTGCTGAGCTTCGCTTGGTGCCCGTCCGCGGGCCTCTGGTGGGCGCCTCGTGCGCTGGGTGGGTGTGCGGTGTGCCTCGTGGGCGCCTCGTGCGCTGGGGGGGGCCGCATATGTTGCACGACATAGCTTGTACCACTCAGCTTGCACCACGTAGCTTGCACCGCATAGCCCACGCCACAGAGCTTACACCGTATAGCTTGCACTACAGAGGTTGCACCGCACAGCATACACCACATTGCTGACGCTGGGTAACTTGCACCACATGGCTAACAACACACAGCTTCCACCACGCAACTTGCACCACAATTGCACCGCACAGCTTACATCGCATAGCTTGTACCGCGGCACCGCGCATCTTAGACCACATAGCTTGCATCCCACAGCTTGCACGACACAGCGCACTCCACATATCTGTACACACATCTCTTTATATATATATATGTATACAGCTGTACACATACAGATACCACAAGGCAGTTTTACACCACAGAACTTGCACCACACAACTTACACATCCACAATGCATTAGCTTACCGGTTGGGGCCCAGGTGAGCAGACGCCCTGCAAGCCATGGGGCTGGCGACCCCGGACTTTCAGTCGGCCCCCCCGTGGCGCGCCGCAGCCAGCGCCGCGGGCGCCGACAGCGACCGCCTGGCCGGACGGTCTGGGAGCGGGCGGCGGACACGGCGAACAGTGGCCCAGGCCAGGGGGAAAAAGAGAACGAGGAACGCGGAAACGTCGGTGTCGATCCTGGTCATCGTCCATCTTGGCCATCGTCAACCCGTGGCATCGGCGGCGGCCCGCGTGGACCATGACCAAGACCAGCGTCGACAAGACCCCGCGGCAGCTTGGTCACGCGAACCCTGCCCTGCGGGGCAAACTCTTCGGAAGCGTCGGCGGGGGCTCCGAGCTCGAGGGGTGCCTGCGGCCTCGCGAACCCCCGCGGGGCCGACACCCCACCGTGCTCTGGACCCACAGGGGCAGGGCTCGCGCGCGGCCACAGACGGAGGCCCTCGGCGTCCCCGCGCGTCCTCTGGCGGTGTCTCCAGCGACTGGGGACGCCACCAGAAGCCCAGTCTCTCCCCTCATCGCGCCGTCCGGCGACTTACCGTCGAAACTGTGATCAATGGTACTGTCATTGAAAACCCCGGGCCGGCTTTCCGGGCCAAGTGTTCGCGTCGACGCGGCAGTGCTCCAGAGGCTGCGCCAGATTTTTGCGGCAAGCTGGTTCAGGAGCAATGGCCCAGCTGTTCGGGAGGAGGTTTCTGAATAAGAGGCTCGACCGTAGCTCGAGTAGGGAATCGACTAAACAATTGATCTGCACCAGGCTTGACTTGGTCGTCGAATCTACCTGCAAATACTTGTAATGTCCGTAGATCCACGAATTTTTGACGCACGTTCCATGGATTCGACGAGAAACAATTTCTGGGGGGAGAACGATTCTGTACACGATCCCCCCTCGAGTAGCACGACTGGCCAGTCTCTCGGCCTCCCGTGGCGCGGTCTGGGACACAGCCTTTTGGTCAGCCTCGGCCTCACGGGGCCCCCCCCAGGCGCGACCTGTGCGGACGTCGGCGGCGAGCGAGGGGGGGGAATGAGGAGGAGAAGGCCTTCACAGACGGCGGCGGAATTTCTCAGAAGCCCACGCGCCCTCTGAGAAATTGCTGTCTGCCTTCGGGGCAAGGTTGGAAAACTTCTCAGAAGGCCAGGGGACTTCCGAACCTTCTGAGAAGGCCTCCTCTTAGGTCGGGCATGCCCCCCTACAGGGGGACTTGGGATGAAAAATAAACATACCACCAACATGCACCAAAAATATTCAGAAATTGCCTAAAATTGTCAAAACATCGTCCCCTGACTATTTGTTTAGACTATTTTTGAATCTTCCCTCCACTGTAGAGGGACAGGCCCGACTTCAGCCTCCTCCTCCTCGCTTCCCCCCCCCCTCGCTCGCCCCCCCCGCGGACGCGCAGCGGGCCCTCTGTGGGGGGAGGGGCGGACGCCTCCCGGGGGCCCACGCTGCCACACAGGACGCACGACACGGCGGGGGCCCATGGGCCCGCGGGGCCCCACCGCCCCGGACTGCAGGCCGAGGAGAAGAGGCTCGGGAAGAGGATCAGGATGGGCCCGTCTTCCACCACCAGCAGAAGTTGGAGGGGGAGGGGGTCCTCCTCCTCCTCCTCCTCCTCCTCCTCCTCCTCCTCCTCCTCCTCCTCCTCCTCCCCCTCCTCCTCCTCCTCCTCCTCCTCCTCCTCCTTGCCCCCAGGCCCACGAGATCACTCGAGAAATCTGGGCCAGCTTCCCGAAGTGTCTTCCAACGAGCACGGGCCAATTTCTCGTGTGAGCGCCGAAGGGGGCGAACGTGCTCCCAGGAACTGGGCCAGCTGTCCGACAAGCTGGTCCGAGGATGCTGGCCCAGCTTTTCGGGAGGAGGCTTCTAAAATAAGATGCTCGACTGTACTTCCGGAGGTATGCCCAGGCTGGCCTGCAGGGGAACCCACAACGGACGGACGCACCAAACCACGCACGTGAACGTGAATACGGAGCCCCAGTCCGCGAGATCAGCCTCGTGATTCGAACGTGGGGCGCAATGCGAGCACTCGAAATCAACGTGGACTCATGCACGCGTACGTCATTCTGTCGCTGCTGAGCCTCGACTGCCTCCGGCATGTCTGGGTAGAGGGAGGCGCACCTCTTCGAGCGCGCATGGAGTGGTGTCTCCAAGCGCTGCCAGCTCTTCTTCTGGCCATCGCTCGGACGTCCATTCCCTGTGTTTTTTTCGGTTTCGTGCGTGGGCTTTTCGCAGGATGATCCAGGATGCTCCTTGATAATCCCCGCCGGGAAAAAGTGCACACGTCCGAGCGATACCAAGTCTTCTGCAGGACGAAATGGTTTTCATCTTGATGCGCGAGTCGCGGCAGTCCGTGCCGCATCCCCCGCCCCCGTAGAATCTGCACACGGAAGGACATGGGGCCCTTGTATCAGGTCGGGCGTGTCCCCCATACAGGCGGCTTTTGTATGAAAAATGCAAAATACACCCAACATGCTCAAAACTAGTAAAATAAAAAATGATCGAAAAATAATCCCCAGAGCATTGTTTGATTATTGTTGAAGATTCCGCCTGTAGAGGGACAGGCCCGACTTAAGCCTTGTATCTGATTTCGAATCGCCCCCCCCCCACTTGCAATGAAATGCTATGAAATTAAAAGATGCATAAAGACGCAATTCCGTAGGAAAAAAAACAGTGACGGGAATCACACCCGAAATAAACGAGATCTGATCCACGATGACGGCAAGCATATTCACGCATCTCCAATCAGAGCCCAAATCGGATCCGCGCACCCTTACTCACATCCGCCACAACTCAATTCATGCATGTCATGGTCGCTCTGCAAAAACTGCCCATTTTTGGCCGAAGGGATGTACGTCATGAGAGATGTCCATGGGACACTTCGGCGAGGAATAAGAGTCTTGCCAGTGATGCTGGCCATGATCACGACTCGCTGCGGACATTCCCGGGTGCTGCGGCCCTGGCGACACGCTGGGGCCTGCGAGCTGCTGGCGTGTCCTGACGCCGGGGTCGTCGCGAAGTGCTGGGCGTGTCGCGCGCCGAAGCGCGGTGGGCTAGCACTGGCGGAGCGACGCGTTTGGCAAGCGCTCCCGGCCGTAACTCGGCGGCGACGATCGGGGCGAATAGCCCAGGGGCGGGCATTACACGCGTTCGCCTGGGAGCCTTTTCGAAGACACAGATCCTCGGCGCACCTGAATACATGTATTGCTCTCCCCTGGGCTAGTCGCCCCTATCGTCGCTTCTGAGTAACTCCTGTCGCCCCCCTGGCCAGGGCCGCGGCTCGCCGGCGCAGCAGCACGTTCCGGGACCCGGGGCCTGCTCCGGGCGGTCATGTATCCCTGGTGAGGTCCATGGACGCGCAAGCGACGAGAAGAAACGGGTCGTGCGCGAGATGGCGTGGCAGCCTGACGCCGCAGCTCGCGCGGCCGCGCGTGCGCGGCACGCTTCGCCGGAAACGAAGGCGCCTACGCGCGACCTTACGCGGGCAGCTTACGCGCCAGCGTCGGTGAAGACGACCCCGTTCTCTTCCTCTCCGTGTGGGCGACGAAGAGAAAGGGGGTCCTGCGCGAGACGGCATGGCGACCTTGCACCGCGGACTACGCGGGCCCCCCGCGCGGCGCGCCACCGTTGGAGACGAGGGCTCTTACGTGCGACCTCACGCGGGCAGCAGATGCGCAAATGTCTGCGTAGTCGACCCCTCGTCCGGAGAAACCAGGAAAAGTACCGATACCGCTACGGTAGGAGCTCGATGACAAGAAAGCTTCCACAAGAAACCCAACCCAGAGACCCAAGGACGTCCATCGATTTCTGGTGTGGGGGCGTCACGCTTTCAATCGCAGAACCGTCGAAATCCAAGCGAAACCCGGGGCAGCCTGGAGGCAGGCAGGGTGTTTCTTGGCGTGGGTTTCCACTGCACCTCGTCCCTCTCTCGCAATCGACCCTGTGTTTCTTCCGTCGCTTGTATGTGGACGGCCGCCGTGGTCGAACCAGAACGGCTGCAGAATTTGGACGCCCGACATGGGCACGGAAAGAATGCGTACAATGCCCAAAAACAAATGTTGTCCCAAACCAACAGCGGCCGCTGTTGGGCAGGCGGCCGTCTGTCTCGAATGGGCACAGGCCGCGGCGGCGCGGACAGCGAGTCCTGTCCAAAACGAGCAGGAACTGCTGTTGGGCATTGTACCCATTCTTTCCATACCATGTCGTTCGTGTCGACCAGAGGCCGCGGCACGTCGGGCGGGCTGGGCACGGCGGGGGGCCGCCAACGATCCCGCCTAGGAGGACGGGAAGGGCAACCGCCTGTCGCAGTCACGTCGTTCTCTGCGCGTTCTACGGCGTCCGCGAGGCATCGCAGTTCGTTGGGCGACATGCCGCTGGAGGAGGCGGAGAGGGGCGAGGACACTGTGCGGAGACTGGACAAGCCACACATCACAGATGCATCAAACACCAGAAAAAAAAAAAAACGTATCCCAACGTAGCAACCGACTTGATAGCAAATGCCGGGATGCTGCTCGTGAGAGGCTGCCGAGAGACTCCTTGGAAACTCCAGAGAGGGTCCCGTGAGGCTCATGGGATGGTCCTGATACACGATCGTGTCTTGACAGACTTATGAGAGGCTCATGTGAGGCTCTTGAGATGCTTCTGAGAGGCTCTCAGCAGGGCATCGGAGAAATCATGAGAGGCTCTTGGGAGGCTTCTGAGAGGTGTCGAGAAGCATCTGGCAATGCTGCTGACAGGCTCCTGAGAGATGACGGCGAGGGTCACTAGGAGGGTCCTGAGAGGATCTGGAGAAACTCTTGAGATGCTCTGCCCCCCCCCCCACGGTGCTCCTTCTGCGTGTCCGGGTCGTCGATGAGGTCCTTGAACTCCGGGAGGTAGAACTCGGCCTGTCGCCACGGCCGCTCGTCGACCCGCCCCGTCGACGCGGCGCCGGGAGCGGAAGAGAGCAGGAAGAGCAGCAGGGAACGAGCAACTCGCCATCGCTCGGACGTCCATTCCCCGTGCATGTTTCAGTCAGTTTCGTGCGTGGTCTTTTCGCCAAGTGATCAAGGATGCTCCTCGAGTGTCCTCGCAGAAGAAAATATGCACACGTCCGAGCGATGCCAAGGCAAGTGGAAGGTGGAGGGAGGGTCCTCCGCCTCTTACAGGAGGCAGATCCTGGGGGGCCGTCAGAACGATCGAAGGCGATCAGGGCCAAATTGAAGAGCCATTGAGCCAAATTGCCCAGCATCCGGCCCATGATTAATCCCGACAAGGCCAGATTCTGCGGGATGAAACCAGATAGGACCACGGATATACCAGCACCGATGCTGAATTAAACCTCCTAGCAGTTGCATCCGAAAGAATGGGAGGGAGGGTCCTCCTCCTCCTCCTCCTCGTCATACTCTGGTTTGCCGAGGGCTACCCTCGGGCTTCTGCTGACCGCGAGCTCCGCCCGCGGAGGCGGCCCTTCGCGAGGTGTGCCCATGCAGCGACGTGGTGCGGTGCGCTGCGTGGGCGAGATGGAGGACATCACCGCGCGCGCCACGGGTTCGCCTGGTGGTTCTCAATCGCGTGCATAAGCGCTTGGCGCGAGAGCGATAGGGGGGCTGAGGAGGGGGAAGGGGTACGTACAGGGCTGCGGCGCCCGCGCCAACGCCCAGCACTCCTTGCCGCGTCGGCCCGGAGGC